GACAAAACTGTTTTGATTATAATTACTTTAAAATCTAATATTATCCAAGTGGATGATGATGATGATAATAATAATAATAATAATAATAATAATAATAATAATAATAATAATAATAATAATAATAATAAACAACGTAAATAACCTAGAGTCAACAAAAACATAGAGTTAACTTGTTAAAAATGTTAATTGTTTTTTTTTTTTTGGGCTCAATGGTTTATTTGCTCTTTTTTTTTTTTTTTCCAGATTTAATGGCTTATTTGAGGGTTATTTGAGTTCGATGGCTTAATTGTTGTTTCTCAAATAGTTCAGTGACTTATTTGTACTTTATCTAAAAAAAAACATCTCCTTTTAAGTTTATTTTTTAATGAAAGAAACTCATAATTATTATTTGAGAATATTTATGGCCCGTTTGGTTCACGGAATAGGCCGGGAATGGCATAGCATTCCCAGTAATAGGTCTATTCCTCTGTTTGGTAACCATTTCTATTACCAGGAATAATATTCCTGGTAATAGCCTATTACCTCAAATAAGGTAATAGCTATTACTAGGGCCCCCCCTGGTATTAGCCTATTACTGAACGCTCAGGAATAGATTTAGAATCTATTTCCTTTTTTACCTCTTTCTTTAACCTAATTTTTTTATCATATATATAAGTTTATCATATGTCACCACCATCGTTGCCACCACCACCATCACCGTCGCCGCCGCCACCACCACCACCATCGCCTCCGCCACCACCACCACCATCGCCACAACCATCGCCGCCCCTACCACCACCGCCGCCCCCACCACTACCACCGCCACCACCACCACTACCACCCCAGCACCACCACCGCCACCACCACCATCACCACCACCGCCACCACCATCGCCGTCGTCGCCGCCACCACCACCCAGCAGCACCACCACCACCGCCACAACCGTCGCCGCCCCCACCACCACTGCCACAACCGTCACCGTCACCACCACTACCGTCGCCCCCACCACTGCCACCGTCACCACCACCACTACCACCCCAGTACCATCATCACCACCACCGCCACCACCATCGCCACCGCCAACACCGCCACCGCCACCACCACCATCGCCACCATCACATATTTTATAAGGGTATTTATGTCTTTTAAAACATATTTCATTTCTATTCCTTAAATCAACCAAACACTGTAATATAATTCCTAAAGTCTATTCCTTCCACGAACCAAACAATAGAATACAATTCCTATTCTATTCCTTGTCTATTCCATTCCTTATGGAATAGCATTCCTATTACCTCAAAATTCATTCCGTGAACCAAACGTGCTGTTAATGAATAAATTATGCTCATGCTTTTAAAGAATTTAACCTAAAATATTATAATAAATTTAATTAGAAGTTATGACAAATTTATATGTATCTGAATTAATTTAATTTTTATTTCTCAACTATTTTTTTATTTTACTTCTCAAGATTATATCAATCTAATTAGATAGTATGACAAATTCTTAAAAATTAAAATTAATTCTAATGTTATTTTCTCGACCATTGTTTATTATTATTTGGGGGTTGGATAGGGGGTGGGGTTTGCTTCTCCTAGTTAAATTAACCGTATTTACAATGGTGTGAGAACAATTAATATTGACATATTTTAAATACTCAATATCAAATGTGATTTTTAAAAAAAAAAATTGAGAAATAAATAAAAAAAAAGTACAGCTATCTTCATCTCTGAAATACTATCACTTTCAAAGTGATAAATGTCAAATATACCTTTGAACTATATACTAAAAATCTAAAATGCAATTAGGCTATCTGACTAAAACAAAAAAAAAAAAAAAAAAAAACAAAAAACAAAAAAAAAAAAAAAAAACTTTCAATTGAACTCTTAAACTTATTAAAAATGTGCAACCGACTATTTGACCTATAATAACATATTTTTCCCAAGTCATCCGTCATGTAAGATGCCACACTGATTAATAATTTTTAATCTTATTTTTTAAAATTACTCCATAAAATAATAGTCTGTAGATTCAAAAAATACAACAAAACTCGCATGGCAGCTTGGCTACCATGGTTTCTTCGTCCATGTTAATTTGGATGGAGGGCGAAGAAGCTTGGTGGCTTTCTCCGCTGTTGGTAACTTTTTTTTAGTTTTTAGTTTTTAAAAGTTTTGAATGAGATGCTACGTCAGATGCCATGTAAGCAAAATTACCAAGTTATCTTTTGTAAAATGTTAAATATGTTAATTTCATAACTTTAATCAGTTTAAATATTAAATTGAGTATTTTTTAATTCGATGGTCTAATTGCATTTTGGTATATAGTTAGAAAGCCTATTTAATCATTATCTCTGCTTTCAAAAGTAGGTAATACTATCATATCATCATATTTGTAATTCACTCACAATATATAACATCATAATAATAACATCTAACTCTATTAAAAAAAAAAAAACTCAATGATAATAATTATAAAGAATAATGTAATTCCAAAAACAGCATTAAAGTTGCAATCCACCCTCACACAATTAAAATTGACCTAGAACAATCCATATTCATCATTTTCATGAAATTAAAATCAATAGTAGCTTCCACTCTAAATAATCCCTTAAAATGGCACTACAATCCATTTTAGTAATTATTTTTCAACAAATCTTGTACAAATGCATCATGATTGAATATATATATATATATATATATATATATATATATAGAGAGAGAGAGAGAGAGAGAGAGAGAGTTAATACCCAAAATAGTCCCTCGACTATGTCGTAATTACCAATTTGGTCCTCGACTATCATTCTTACCCAATTAAGTCCTCAACTATTCAATTTTTACCCATTTTAGTCCTTTGTCAATTTGACTGTTTGTTGACTGTCAAAAATGGAAATAAAGTTGTAATTTTACAAGTTTTCTCCTTCCTCCGCATTTAGCAGCGCTAAACCATGTAGCAATAAGCTCCGGTTGGGTTCTAAACCTGTCAGTATCGACGTAGTGGTTGTGCATCGGATAGCCCATGAATTTGATTTTCAACGATTTTTTGACGATCGAAATCTGATCGGAGTGTATTGCTGCATGGTTTGGCGCTGCTAAATGGAGAGGAAGGAGAAATCTTGTAAAATTATACTTTTATCCCGACTTTTGACAGTAAACAAACAGTCAAATTAATACATAGGACTAAATTGGGTAAGAATTGTATAGTTGAGGACTAAATTAGGTAAGAATTGTATAGTTGATGACTTAATTGAGTAAAAGTTACATAGTTGAGGACTTAATTGGGTAAGAATGGTAGTTGATGACCAAATTGGTAATTATGGCATAGTCGAGGGACCATTTTAGGTATTAACTCATATATATATATATATATATATATATATATATATATATATATATATATATATATATATATATATACTAGTTCAAATGCGGACACTGCCTCCCGTGCAGTCAATTCAAATTCACCACTAAATATGTGTAAATACATTACACAATGTTCAGAAATGCACCAAAATAAAATGCACTAATACACCATAAAACACAGCACACACCAAAAACTGCACCCCATTTTATAGTAAATTTATACATACTTAATGGTAAGTGACCATACAGCCACACAAAATATATTATCTATACCAGAATTTGACCCTACAAAGATTCACCTTATAAAGTGAAATCTAAATTATGGTATACCAAATGATGGTAATATGGTCACGTAGCATTCTTTAATTTAAGTTGAAGAAAGAGAAACATTTGGCGCTTAGAAACTAGAGAGTGGGCGCAAATGGCGCCTTTGAATGTGTCCAAAACACCATCGCATGTGGGTGTTATTTCACCTTTAATTTGTCCACAACCAATGAAAAAGTAGCTTTGTTCTTTTTAATGTTCTTTTTCTCAGTCCAATAAATACAACAATATAATTATTACATTGTTCACATATTAATATTAAATCATTACACACCTATAATAACTCCAAAACAAACGAGATTAAGTATGCTAGCTAAATATTATAACAAAAATGGCTTATTAGTGAAAAAAACATTAATATTTATATCTCATGACAATTATATTTACATGTTTAATTGTTATCAATTTAATATTAGATATTTATCTTTCGTGATAATTATATATATATATATATATATATATATATATATATATATATATATATTAATGACAAATAAAGAGAGACTCTAAGACGGAGTCAACAATTTTTTTTTTTTTTTTTTTGAAGATGGAGTCAACAATTTAGATTTAGAATTTAGTTAGTTTTTTTTTTTTTTTTTTTTTAAAAATGTTGAGTTTATCTAGAAATGCATTCTATATTGTTAAAAATTATACTCTATAGCTTTGGAAAAATTACCCAAATGCTATGGATTTTTTTTTTTTTTTTTCGAATTACATAAGATCTGTTAGATTTTTCCAAATGAAATGTTGTCATTGATTCTTAGGTTTTTCTTGAGATCTTGTTTCAATGTAAGTGTGCTTACACGCACAATGTTTTTTAGGAGTTTCGTTTGAAAAATTTTAGTTGTTTGGAGTAGACAGCTCAACTTGGAGTCAAAGTCTAAAAATGCAAGTAGCGAGAGTAGAGAGGGATGGCAATATGACATATTGGCATGTGACTCCTATGGATAGTTTATAGTTGATTCATGAATAACAAATTGTAGACAGGAACACAAAATCAAGTCCTAGTAGTCGCAGTGTGAGATTTTCTTGTGGAGTCACTTTTTTTGTGAAATCAGACACCGACCTCACTTCATAAGTCGTTGAGTTACTGTGATTTATCCCTCCACAATCTTATTAGATCGAAGTTTGGGGATCTTAAGTCGAGGGATTTCACCTATGTGGGCAAGAGTGGGCAAGAGAGGGATGGCATGTGGAGATGTGCAAATATGGGTGTAGATAGGAGTGGTCCAATTCTTCTTCCCCATCATCATCAAATAAATTGCCGCGAAATTAAGGGTGTTTGGCTATAACTGTCAGCTCCCATAAATTCATTATTCTAATATTCAACGGTTTGTACATTACCCTTGCTTGCTACTATAGTCCCTACACCTCACCACTGTTCTGCCTCTACTGTCCACTCACCACTCTGCTCTAAAGTACACAACCAACTGCCCTAACCAAACCTATTTTCTCTTCTCTCTCTCTCTCTCTCTCTCTCTTTCTTTCTGCGGTGGTTTCGTTCCCTTCTTTAGTGCCTTCAATCAAGGCAAGAATTCACCAAGAGCCTGCAATCTCTCTCTCTTTCTCTCTCTGTCTCTCCCCCCTTCTCTGTTCTCTTTCACACAGGTATGAAAGAATGGCTCCCAGAGATTTAATTTCATCTTTTCTTTGGCTGTCCATTGATGGGTTCTGTGTTTCTTGGAAAGGGCATTTCTTGATTTTTTTATTTTCCTGCTCAATTCTTGGAACCCACATTGCGTTTTTGGTTCAAGATTGTTTCTTTTACCTCAATTTTGTCAAAACTTTGTTGTTGAATGTTTGGTTGAGTTATGTGTGTTAGTTAAACCTCAATTATGGTCGTAGCTGGCTGCTCACCATCTTCTGGTGGCGCAGTTAATTTAGCAAGTAAATTTTTTCTTCAATTCCCATTACTTTTGCCCTACGCATTCATCATATCTTAGTACTTTGGTTGTTCCAAGAATAATTGTTTCTTCTCATTTTTTGTTTTTTTTTTTTTTACCTTTTTATATTCTCTTGGAATCATGCTTGTGATTTACATTTCTGATTTACCAAGTAATACTTATGACTGTTATGTATATATATATGTGTTGAGATTGTCATCCTATGAATGAGATCTATTACCCATTAGAACCCCAGAATTTACCTATTTATAAAGCTCTAGATTTACCGTATTGTAGTTAAATAGTGAAAATTTGTTTTCCCTATATTTTTGTTTGCTGTTCTTGATTTCAACATTTTGGTTTCTGGGTTTCTTGTTTGCAGTTACTGGTAATAGGGCAAATTGTGTGTAATTTTGAATTGGCAAAACGAGTAGGAGAAAGTGATATCTTTGAGGGATAATGGAGAAGAAGCAGCTGAATTTCAATGCCCCGCTTATATCGGTGAGGAGAATGTCGTCGATTGTGTCTCAACCCGAGGAAGTGATTAGGAAGACGATTGGGAAGGCGCCCCCGAACAGGCAGCAATCTCTGCCCGTGCTAAAGTGTAAGCGGGATGTGGGCGAGGTGACTAAACCGGCTGCAGTTCCGTTTGTGTGGGAGCAAACTCCCGGGAGGCGAAAACCCGAGAACGAGAGGAAAGCCTATGCCTATGAGGAGCCTTCGAGTACTACCCCAAAGCTCCCTCCAGGAAGGATGCGGGATAGTATAAGATTCTATTCGGGCGAAAGGCCTCGAAGTCAGAATATTTACAACGCTCATCCTTGGAATGATCATGCTGCTTTGTTGGATAGCTTGGTTGAGAGCATGTATACGAAAGGGGAATCCGATGGGGAAAGCAGGGACGAGGCGTATTCTGATGCAACCGACACGCTATCCCCGAGCGAATCTTTGTCGTTGAACTGCAGTATAAGTGGCTTGAGTGGCTACCAAGGCCTCGATGTAAAACCGTCCGGAGCCTTTGCTGTCGATGTGCAAACTCGAGACTTTATGATGAGCCGGTTTTTGCCCGCAGCGAAAGCCGTGGTTTTGGAGACGCCTCAATATGTTCCAAAGAAGGAACTTGTAGTAGTAGCCGAGCAACCTAAGCCCCCGGTGAAAAAGGTTATCCCGGTTGAAAACAAGCCTCTGCCTATCCAGAAATACGACCCTCACGTTATATCACATTATAGCAAGTATACCGAGAACATTGCTAGCGAAAGTGAAGACGAAATGGATGAAAACGTGCCCGAGAAACAACACAAACGGTCGGGTATATCTTGGAAGCTCTTCCCCCGCCTTTGTGTAAAGAACTCGTTGTGCCTTCTAAGTCCTTTGCCGGGAATGAAAAGTAGAACACGAGCTCCTTCACCCGCACCTACACCTCCCCCGCCAGCTAAAGATATAAAACGGCTGACCAGAAACGCTTACAGCGGACCCCTTAACATGCCCCGAAAAGCTTATAGTGGACCTCTTGACAAGGTAGAAATCGTAACACTTAAACTATATTAACCATTACTCTCTTTTACTAAATTCCCGTATTTGTGCAGCAAGTTTGTGAGGCCATGTACAACAAAAGATTTCATCCCCTATCGGGGGAGCTGTATAAAGTTGCTGATAACAAAAGGGCGCCTAACCAGCTGCCTGGTTACGATGGACTGTCTCCACACAGGAACTCCAGAAGTGGTGCAATATCTCCCTACCGAAATGTTGCTCCACGATCACCGTTTAACGAAGGTGCTAGGTTTCTAGGAGTACCGAGGGAAGTTGAGAAGGCCAGTGGTTATGTTCGAGATACTCCTAGAAAGAGCACAGGTAAGATAGCCTCGGATGAGAAAACGGTATATGTAGATTCTGTTAATAACGTAGAAATTCCAAGTCAAGATTTGGCATCTTCGAAGCCCAAGAGTGTTGTTACTGGCTCTAATGAGAATCTAAAGAATCTAATAAGAAACATACGAGTTGTAGATGTGAGAAGAAAATTCAACCCCGAATCTTTGGAGCTGGCTGAAAAGGTGCTAGCTTCTACCACATGTGTATCAAAGCTCAGAGGCGGCCTTACAGAGAAGAAGGATGCTTCGAAACTAAATTCGGACTCCAATCAAGAACTCGGTTCGTTAGAATTGGCAATTGTGTGCACCAATGGGAATATAGCTTCGGGCAATGAAGATAACTCGAAGCCAGATGATGAGAGCAACTCCTCACAATCGCCATTACCCCCGCCCTTACCCAAATCCCCTTCTGAATCGTGGCTTTGGCGTACACTTCCTTCTGTTCCTTTGCAGAATCCACAGAAACCGAGACCAAATGCTACCAAGACTGCTACCAAATGGGAGACGATTGTGAAATCGTCGAATTTACATCACGACCACACCCGCTATTCTGAGGTTACTTCTTTTTTTTTCCTTTTAATAGAAGTTCGTGTTTGAGTAACCACATTTATTTGATCGGGCTACCATTTTTTATTCGAACAGGAACTTGTTCCTCACAGTTCTCGTCAGCAAAAAAGAGTTTAGAAGCCGAATGCCAACCTCAAGGATTCATTTACAGTAATGTGGAGCATCTCGCTCCTGTATAGTCAGTCTCTCTATATACGAGGTATCCAACTTTCTTGATTTTTTTGCCCCTGGTTTTTCCCTCTTGATTGTTTTTTAGTGAGGGTACACCAGGAACAAGTTTTTATTTGTCGAGTGCATAATTTATAGCTGAAGTTTATGAATTCTTCGAATGATGTTGTAGCGAGCTGAGAAAAAAAAAAATCCGAGTTTTCTCACTGTAGATTTCTACTTACATGGAACATGTAAACTTCCTTGAAATGAATGGGAGGTGTTTGTTTATCTTTTATCGTCTTTGTTCAGTTATATGGCTATGGCTGTGGTTTCCTTCACAACGTTTAGAATCTACGGAACAAAATTGCCATTTGATTCATTTGGATTTGCAGTACATTCAAATGCTATATTTCTAACACCTAAAAATCTGTATGCTTATACAATCCACTTGAGCACCTAAAGAACTAAAACTATGCATTGGTCCAGCAAGTGGTTAAAGAAGAAAAGGCTGTAAAATGTGTGTTTTCTACTTTTGGTCTCTTCAAGTTTATTATGCAAATTAACAACCTATCAAGTGGGTCAGGATCTTCTTGAATTCATCAGAGTTAAGCTTCATAACTTCTTTGAAAAAATGTAGAAACTTGGAGAATTTGGAGGTGGGTGAAAATTATTATTTCTTCCATAGAACTCTTCCCAAATCCATTGCAAATTTTCTTCCCAATGCACACAATCGCCCAGGGCAGAGCACAACACCTCATACTATTGTGGTACTTTGCTCCATGTTGTGCGTCTTCTTCTGTTTTCTTGAAGGCATTTGAAGTAGTAGTATTTCCTTGTGCTGCATCAGCAACAGGATGAGACTCAATCTGTGTATCCTGCTTTTCTACATCTTTCATTAACTTTTCAATTTCACTCATAAACCTTTCAATGTGTATCGAAAAAAGTTCCATCTTAAAGCCTGGAGTTAAAAACTAAGCATTGTTGAGAAAGTATACGAACAGATATTACAATGTAATAGAGCCAGTAGCATTCAAATATATATATATATATATATATATATATATATATATATATATAGAGGGAAGGATGGAAACGGTCAGCACTGTCGAGTACCGCAGTACCGCATCCTGTATGAGCAGAAACAGTTGGGACCTATCAGGTCGGGGCGGGGTATCCGGCAAGGCGACCCCTTGTCGCCATATCTTTTCCTGTTGGTAACTGAAGGCCTAAGTACTTTGATTGAGAACAGGATGAGTAGGGGACTGTTGCACGGAGAGAGGGTTGCGAGAGGGGCACCTCCGATCTCGCATCTCTTGTTCGCGGATGATTGCTTTTTATTTTTAAGAGCCAACTTTGCCGAGAATCAGCAAATGAAAAAGGTGTTAGATGTCTATGCAGAGGCTTCAGGTCAGATGGTTAATTATGACAAGTATGTGGCTTGCTTTAGCACTAATTTTGATCAGCAGGGAAGGGAAGATGTAATATCTGTCTTGGGTGTCCGGCACGGAGACACTGCAGGGCGATATCTAGGCTTGCCGTCGTTGGTCGGGCGGAATAAGAAGCAGATTCTGGGCTTCTTGAGGGATAAGGTACTGGAACGTGTGCGTAGTTGGAAAACACGATTCATATCAAGAGCAGGTCGTGAAGTGTTACTGAAGAATGTCTTGCAGGGCTATGCAATGATGGTGTTCATGTTACCAGTAAGTCTGTGCAATGAGATTGAGATTATCCTAAGCCGCTACTAGTGGAGTGGCACGGTCAGTGAGGCACGTGGAGTTAGGTGGAAAGCGTGGCGTGGATTGTGTGCCCCGAAGGCTAAGGTGGGCATGGGCTTCAAGAAATTAAGGGAGATGAATCTGGCTCTGTTGGGAAAGCAAGCATGGCGCTTACTGACGCGTCCCGAGTCCTGACTCCCTTGTTGCACGGGTTTATAAAAGTAATATTACCCTAATATCTCATTTTTTGTTAGGAATATAGTGGAATAATACGGAAGCGAAGAATCAAAAATTGAGAATTATAGAAGTTAAATAATAGGGAAAATATATAAATAAAGAAAGTTGTATAGAATGACAAATAAATAACCAAAATGGGAAATATAAAAATTATATATATAATCTCACAAAAGAGAATAACAAAATAATATATATATTTATAGAGAATACGTGAAGGCAGAAGACAAAATGAATGAATTCAAATGTTGTATTGATGTAATGAGAGATGCATTTACAGAGCAAAATACTAATGCTATTTATATACTCAAATGAAGAGATAAAAACGGCATGCACAGCAGAAATCGGAGAGGACGTGGATACATGCGACGTGTTGCGCTGCATGATGAATTATGTTAAGTCAAAGATAGTCAATATTAATTATGGAATTGAGTCACCCGTATTATTTTTCTAACAATCTCCACATTGGACCAAATCCACTGTGGGAATTAACAACTGAACAGCCGACTAAACTCAAACACTGTTTGAACTTAGCAATAGGAAAAACTTCAGAATAGCAGGATGGATAACCATCAACTTCCTATGCGACTGAAAGAGCATAAGCAACCATATTGGTTTCATCATCACTAGCATACCTAGCAAGTTTTTTAATTGTCCTCCTAGGACGATCCATAGCAATGGAATACTCTCGTTGTGGCTCGACGAGAGGTGCGACGCTAGTAGATGCATCATCTTTAGTATTACCATCAGTTGTAGTAATACTATCAATAAGCCTGAACTCAAACTCCACCTTCTCACCAGTACTTTGTGTCTCAACTGTACTGGGAACTTTTCCAGAAGAAAGTAGTGCATTTTCATCAAAAGTGATATCTCGACTCAGAATGATTTTTTGAGAATCAAGAGACCATAGACGATACCCTTTTGACTCAGAAGCATAACCAAGGAAAATGCATTTGACAGCTCGAGGGTTTAATTTACCCGTACTGGAATGAGCATATGCAGGACATCCAAAAACTCTTAAGATAAAGTAATCAATAGGATTACCTGACCAAACTTCCTCTGGAATTTTGAAATCAAGGGATGAATGTGGAGATCTATTTACCAAATAGCAAGCAGTAGAAACGGCCTCGGCCCAAAAATCACGCAGTTTCCATAACCCAGCATTAGAGAGCATACAACGAGCTCTTTCTAATAGAGTCTTGTTTATACGTTCGGCAACACCATTTTGCTGGGGTTTACCAGGCAAGGTCTTGTGCCTGGCGATTCCATTTGCCGCACAGAAGTCATTGAAATCTGACTCACAAAACTTCAAGTCATTGTCTGTCCTAAGCTTCTTGACTTTTTTACATGTCTGAGTCTCAACAAGTATTTTCCACTTCTTGAAAATAGAAAATGTCTGATTTTTATATTTTAGGAAATAGACCTAGACTTTACGAGAAAAGTCATCAATAATAGACGTACAATATCTACAACCTCCCATAGACTGGAACTTAGTCAGTCTCCATAAATCGGAATGTATATATTCCAATACATCTTTGGTACGGTGTGTAGCAGTAGTGAAACTAACCCTCTTTTGTTTTCCAAAAACACAATGCTCACAAAATTGTAATTTAACCGTACCTGAACCAATAATGAAGCCTTTCTTGCTCAGGAGATGCATGCCTTTCTCACTCATATGCCCGATACACATATGCCATAATTGAGTGAGATCCGCATCAGACATCGATGAGGATACTGCTACTGAACCTGTTACAGTACTGCCATGCAAGATGTACAAGCTTCCAGAACGAGAAGCTTTCATGAGAACAAGAGAGCCTTTTATGACCTTCAGAAGTCCACCTTCAGCTATGTACTTGCACCCAAGAGATTCCAAGGTGCCCAAGGATATCAAATTGCGTTTCAAATCAGGAATATACCGAACATTTGTAAGAGTCCTGATAACGTTATCATGAGTTTTAATCTGCACACTTCCAAATCCACTAACCTTGCATTGGGTATCATTACCCAGCAAGACAACTTCACCATCAAGCGATTCCAGAGAGACGAACCAGTCTTTGTGAAGACACATGTGGAATGTACAACCAGAGTCTAGAATCCACTCAGTTCTGCTCCGTTTGCAACCGGAGCTAACAGATAACATAACATCGCCTTCTGAATCACTTTTAACAACACTAGCTTTAGCGGACTTTTCTTTTCTCTCTCTTGCTTGTTTTTCAACTTGAAGCATTCAGTCACATCATGACCCTGCTTCTTGCAGTACTTACAGGATTTGTTGGACTTACGTCTTTTGGACTTGGATCTAGATTTTTTATTGTCACTCTCTGTTTCAAGTGAGCGACCCCTTATAGTCAAGCCTTCACCTTTGTCCTCAGACTTAATTTCAAAGTCAAACTTTTCTTTGGACAATAGATTTGACTTAACATTGTCGAAAGTAAGGGTGTCACAACTATTACCATACAGCATAATTTCTTTGAAATGCTTGTATGATTTAGGGAGAGAGACAAGCAATAAAACAGCGCAATCCTCATCGTCAATTACGACATCAATATTTTCCAAGTCCAATAAAATAGAATTGAATTCATCCAAGTGAGATTTAATAGAAGTACCTTCCGTCATACAGATTGTGTATAAACGCTCCTTCAGGCGTAGCGTGTACGCCAGAGTTTTGGCCATGTAAAGCGTATCCAGTTTGGACCATAAATCTGACGCAGTCGTCTCACTTACTACCTCACGTAGAACCTCTTTAGACAGACACAAAAGAATGGTTGAATGTGCCTTGTCATCCAAATCTTCCCAAGTTTCATCTGTCATTGTAGCCGGTTTCTTCTTCTTCCCAGCTAGCGCTTTCTTCAAACCGTTCTGGATTAGAACGGCTTCCATCTGAACCTTCCAGATAGAAAAGCTAATTTCCCGTCAAACTTCTCGATATCGAACTTGGTAACAGTCGACATCTTTGAAAATAATTTTCCATTAAACCACTCTGATACCACTTGTTAGGAATATAGCGGAATAATGCGGAAGCGAAGAATCAAAAATTGAGAATTATAGAAGTTAAATAATAGGGAAAATATATAAATAAAGAAAGTTGTATAGAATGACAAATAAATAACCAAAATGGGAAATATAAAAATTATATATATAATCTCACAAAAGAGAATAACAAAATAATATATATATTTACAGAGAATACGTGAAGGCAGAAGACAAAATGAATGAATTCAAATGCTGTATTGATGTAATGAGAGATGCATTTTCAAAGCAAAATACTAATGCTATTTATACACTCAAATGAAGAGATAAAAACGGCATGCACAGCAGAAATCGAAGAGGACGTGGATACATGTGACGTGCTGTGCTGCATGATGAATTATGCTAAGTCAAAGATAGCC